TGTACGTATTCATTAGGGATGGTTATTACAGTAAAAGCAGTGTCGTTTGGCAGCAACAGATCGAACACTTCCTTTTATTTTAGAAATATTGTAATGCGTAGACGTTCAGCTTTACCTGCCTTCATTTCGTCAGTTCTCCTAAAACAGAGAAAGTGGACCAAAAAAGGTGTGGATTTCAGGTCATTGATATTGAACAATTCGGAATAGGAGCTGCACTGCGTTGGATCAATATGAACCCGGGAATTGATTGCAGGATACTGATTGCCGGTGGAGATGGGACGATTTCGTTGGCTCTGGACTCGATCAGCGAATTGCAGCGAAAGATACCGATTGCTGTGTTACCTCTTGGTACTGGTAACGACCTAAGTAGAACTCTTGGATGGGGGCCTGGTCATGAGGGCCCCATCGATTTTTGCAAGGTTATTTTTTAGATTTGAAAAGCCCATTGCTATATGTGGAAAGTGTTAATAAAACGTCTCGGCGAGTTGATTAAGTTTGTCCGTGAATGTTGATTTTTTGGTGAACTGCAGCTTAAAAAACATGGCGATACTTTTCATTCCTAAAAAATTTTGGAAGGTTTTCTCACTTTGCCACATAGAAGTTAACTTACAATAAAAAATGCATTTGAGATTTGTGCTGAAATGCGAGCCGCGAAGACGGTGAACTTAGACAGATGGAGTGTCGAAATCGTTCACAGAAGACGGCTTGGCGTTCGTGCCAAAAATAAACGTTTCAGTATGGTGAATTATATATCGGTTGGAGTGGATGCGTGTGTTACGTATGGTTAGCTGGTTTTTATGCGTTTTTTGCATCTAGGCAATGAAGAAACGCATATTGATGATGGTTTGTCTGTGTGTGTGTGTGTGTGTGTGTCTGTTTGTTTGTGTGTTCGTCTTTACCGATTTTTCATCTCGAAATCTGCATGAACTACAGGGCTGAAACTCTGGAAAATTAATCTACATACATATACGGGTCCCCATCCCCGAAATGGGCGCTCTTACTCGCCTGGTACCCACATACGAGCCCGCCAAAGTTTTTGACGGT